AAAAAAAAAAAAAAATTAGTCGAGCGTGGTGGTGCATGCCTGTGATTCCAGCTACTTGGAAGACTGAGGCGGGAGGATCGCCGGAGCCCAGCGGGTCAAGGTTGCGGTGGCCGGGAGCGGCCACTGCACTCTAGTCTGGGCGACAGAGTGAGACTCCAACTCAAAAAAAAAAGTGGTTTTACAAACTAACAAGAAAATATATGACTAAACCAGTGACAGGTTTATTTTTTGTTGTTAAATATTACCATCAAATATTAATATTAATTATTACCATTGCCGGTAAAGGTATAGGAAGAGGGACACTTGGTATGCTGCTGGGCTGTAAAATCGTGTAGCCTTCCTGGGGAATAAATTATTCTTGTGTATCACGTGTCTTAACGATGGAGAAGTTTCTACCTGGGAACCACCCTTCCTCAGATTTATCCTTAGGATCAGGAAGGATGGTGAGGGTGCTCCAAGAGGCATTGTGCATAAGGGATGGTGTTGGAACAGTCTAAAGGTCCGTCAAAGGGAGCATGTGGTCCCCTTGCCTAGGGCACGTGGCAGCTGGTAAGAAGGGTGTTGGTGCAAGGGCCACTGGCATGGGGACAGTCTCTGTGTCTTGACCTGAGAAAAGTAGGTGGCAGGTGGCATGCATGGTCTGATCCCATTTTTTATTTTTATTTATTTATTTATTTATATATTTTTTGAGTCTCACTGTCACCCAGACTGGAGTGCAGTGGCCGCTCCCAGCCACTGCAGCCTCGACCTGCTGGGCTCCGGCGATCCTTCTGCCTCAACCTTCAAAGTAGCTGGAACTACAGGCATGCGCTACCATGCCCGGCTAATTTTTTGATTTATTGTAGAGATGATGTCTCGCCAAGTTGCCCAGGCGGGTCTCGAACCCGCGGGCTCAGCAGTCCACTTACCTTAGCCTCCCAAAGAGCGGGATTACAGGCTGAGCCACCGAGCCCGGTTTCATTTTTTTATTTTTAAAATTTATATATAGAAAAAAAGTCTAAAAGACACTAAAGTCCTAACAGTTTTTATTTCTGTAGGGTTTCAGGTGATTGTTCTTGTCTTCCATATTTTCTGCATTTTTTAACCTTGAGCTCCTGTGGGCCAAGCCTTGTCCCTGTCCTTATCCCATTAGGGCAGGAAGGGCCCTCAGCCCCTCACCTCAGAAATCAGGACATGTGGGGCTTATGCTCCCACCTGCAGCCCATTTCCTGGAGGATAACACTGAGGAGCTGTGAGGACGAGTCACGGCAGTGTGTGCCGTTTTGGTTTCTGTCGGTACTCAGGAAATGTCGCTGTCCCCCTCTCTGGTTGCGACCGGGCCCTTGGCGATTCTTCCCGCTGAGCACATTCAGGCCTCTTTGGTCATGGTGGGTCAAGACAAGGAGGGTGGAGAATCCTGGCAGACATTTTTTAGTCTCCCTGGGGGGTCCTAGATGCAGGCAGGATTCTGTCGGGCCATGTGGAGCTGGCCAGGTAGAGACAGGAGGAGGCGGAGCTGCAGACCAGACAGAAGGTTGGGCACAGCCGGAAGGGCAGGGGAGCTGTGGGGAGTGGCATCTGTATTCCTGCCATTACAATGGACAACCTGAGAATGGAAGATCTGCCCAGGGGCTGAGGGTACCAAACACTTTTCCTTTTGACAGCCATTGGCTGTTTCAAGTACTGTAGCCACCCGTGGGGTAGTCACCATGGAGGTCAGCACAGCTCCCTCCTGCTTTCTCCCTGCTGGCTGTGATTAGGCTCTGGCTCCTTTTGGTTCTGTTTTCTGGTTTTTCCATTCCTTGTTATGCTGTTCTCCTTTCCCCACAACATTAAGAACAGTTTGCAGCCGCATTTGGTTTTGTTTTGTTTTTTTGTGTCGAGTTCTCTGTCACCCAGGCTGAAGTGCAGTTGGCATGACCATGCTTCACCTCGGCCTCCACCTTATGGGCTCAGGTGATCCTCCTGCCTCAGCCTCCTGAGTAGCTGGGACTCCAAGCACATGCCACCATGCCCCGCTATTTTTTGTGTGTTTTTGTAGAGACGAGGTCTTGCTGTGTTGTCTAGGCTGGTCTCGAACTCCTGGGCTCAAGTGATCTTCCTGCCTAAGCCTTCCAAAGTGCTGGGATTATAGGCGTGAGCCATCATGCCCGGCCCATAACTTCTTTTGTGGCAAACCCCTTTGTCAGCTGCTCTGGTGGGCTCTTTAGAGGAGAAGGCAGAAAGGGGTGATGGGGAGCTCTGCCAGCATGTGGTCAATGGGTGGGTGTCGTCAACAGCTGCCTGGGTGCATCTCCATTGATTGTCTCCAAGGGCAGACCCTGCCACCCACCCCTCCTGACTGCCTGACTCTGTCCCCATACAGACTGAAAAGGACATCCTGCTGCGGCCGGAGCTGGAGGAACTGAGGAACGAACATTCCGCTCGCTTCAAGCTCTGGTACACGCTGGACAAAGCCCCTGAAGGTGAGAGTGGGAGGTCCTGGGCAGGACGTGGTGGGTAGGCTGAGCCTTGTGCTCCCATGAACCCACTGGTTGTTCACTGTAGCCCTGTGAGAGGGAGGTGGTGTGACCCCGCCTCACAGGTGAGCATCAAGGGTGCAGAGGGAACATTAGTGGCCCATGTCACACAGCCAGAAAACACCAGAACCTGGCCTGGAACTCAAGGCCTTGCCTCCAGAACCAGAGTCCTTTCTCGGCCTGCTGCACTGTTCCTCACTGGAGGGAGGCCTGGTGTCCTCTCCTTGGGCTGGGCCCACTCGGGCAGGTCTCCAAGGGCAATGTTAGCCGTGGGAGCTGTTGCTTCCACTTTACAGTTTGTGCTCTCCAAGGCCATTTTCTGTCCCATCACCAGCCCTGGGGAGTGGGCTGGACTGACGTTGTGGTTACCCTCATGCTGCCTGTCCAGTGGGTAAGCTGTTTGCCAAGGTCATGCAGAGCTGTGGGAGAGCCAAGACCATGCGGGAGGCACTGAGTGAGGGCCACCCTGCCACTTAGATTGAGGTTGCCCTCTGAGAATTAAACTATCCTTCCTTCTCCTGCTTCAGGTAGAGATGTGGGTTCAGGATATAGCTTAATGTCTTCTTTACTGTAAGAAAAGCAGAAGCTCAGGCTTCCTTCTGGATAATTCCAGTGATGTTTGGCTTCAGGGTTGAGAGATTGTAGAGAGTGGTGGGACTGAAGTAAATTGGAGAGCATCTGCCTCCACCAGAAGGGGCAGTCCTGCTTTGCAGAAGTACAGACAGCCCTGTGTGGCTAGGCCTTTCCACTTTTCTTTCTTACTCTGTCGCCCAGGTTGGAGTGTAGTGGCACGCTCACAGCCCCCACAGCCTCAACCTGCTGGGCTCAGGCAATCCTGTCTCAACCTTCCAAGTAGCTGGAACTACAGGCGTGTGCTACCATGCCCGGCCAATTTTTTAATTTATTGTAGAGATGAGGTCTTGCCAAGTTGTCCAGGCTGGTCCCGAACCTATGGGCTCAGGCAATCCTCTTGCCTTGGCCTCCCAAAGTGCCGGGATTATAGGCGTGATCCACCACACCTGGCCAAGAGACCTAGATTTTCTTTCTTTTTTTTTTTTTGAGTTGAAGTCTCACTCTGTTGCCCAGACTGGAGTGCAGTAGCCGCTCCCAGCCACCTCAGCCTCAACCTGCTGGGCTCCGGTGATTCTTCCACCTCAGCCTTCCGAGTAGCCGGAATTATAGGCGCGTGCTACACCCGGCTAATTTTTTGTAGAGATGAGGTCTCATCAAGTTGCCCAGGCAGGTCTCGAACCCGCGGGCTCAGGCAGTCCACTCACCTCAGCCTCCCAAGGCGCGGGATTACAGGCTGAGCCACCGGCTGGGACCTAGATTTTCTTGGGAAATTTCTAAATGTTGGAAATGGGACATTTTTTTTTTTTTTTTTTTTGAGTTGGAGTCTCACTCTGTCACCCAGACTGGAGTGTAATGGCCGCTCCCAGCCACCGCAGCCTCGACCTGCTGGGCTCCGGCGATCTTTCCGCCTCAGCCTTCCGAGTAGCCAGAATTACAGGTGCGTGCTACCACGCCCGGCTAATTTTTGATTTTATTGTAGAGATGAGGTCTCGCCTGCCCAGGTGGGTCTCGAACCCACGGGCTCAGGCAATCCACTCACCTCAGCCTCCCAAAGTGCTGGGATTACAGGCTGAGCCACCGCGCCCGGCAGAAATGGGACATTTTTGAAGCAGCCACAAGAGCACAGCTTGAGGTCTGCGTCACGTCCTGCCATCCTGCCCTTGCTTCTCCTCTGCTCCTCACACAACCTCACTGTTCCCCACACACCATCTGCTGGCAAGGAAGCTCTGTCCCCATCACCTTGTATCCATGTATCAAAAGGGAAGAAATCAAAAATGGGTCTCCTCCCTTCTGCTTGCAGTTTCTTTCTTTCTTTTTTTTTTTTCTGAGGAGTCTTACTCTGTCGCCTAGGCTGGAGTGCAGTGGCACACTCACGGCCACCACAGCCTCAACCTACTGGGCTCAGGTGGAACCACAGGCGTGCACCACCATGCCCGGCTAATTTTTTTATTGTATGGTAGAGATGAGGTCTCGACAAGTTGCCTAGGCTAGTTTCAAACCTCTGGGCTCAGACAATTCTCTTATCTCAACCTTCCAAAGTGCTGGGTTTACCCACCGCATCCCGCCTGCTTGCAGTTTCTGATTGTGTGGGCAGGGCTGGCTCGTTGGCATGGCAGCCTTTAACCATGATGAGAAATCCTTTCCACTAGTGCCAGTGGACAGCCTCATCCAGCAGGAAGGGGCCGATGCTGACCCCTGGTGGTGGCAGGTGGTAGCGCCGAGCCCACCTCCAGGGCCAGTTTCTTTTTTTTGTTGGTTTTTTTTTTTTTTTTTTTTTTGAGTTGGAGTCTCACTCTGTTGCCCAGACTGGAGTGCAGTGGCCACTCCCGGCCACCGCAGCCTCGACCTGCTGGGCTCCGGCGATCCTTCCACCTCAGCCTTCCAAGTAGCTGGAATTACAGGCATGCACTACCACGCCCGGCTGATTTTTTGATTTATTGTAGAGATGAGGTCTTGCTGCCCAGGTGGGTCTCGAACCTGCTGGCTCAGGCAATCCACTCACCTCAGCCTCCCAAAGGTGTGGGATTACAGGCTGAGCCACCGAGCCCGGCTTGTTGTTTTTTTTTTTTTTTTGTTGGAGTCTCACTTTGTGACCCAGGCTAGAGGGCAGTGGCATGCTCTCAGCCACTGCAGCCTCGACCTGCTGGGCTCAGGCGATTCTTTCACCTCAGTCTTCCTAGTAGCTGGAACTACAGGCATGCATCACCATGCCCGGCTATTTTATTTATTTTTATTCTAGAGATGAGGTTTTGCCAAGTTGCCCAGGCTGGTCTCGAACCCATGGGCTCAGACAGTCCTCTCATCTGGGCCTCCCAAAGTCCTGGGATTATAGGCGTGAGCCACCGCACCCAACCTGGGGCCAGTTTCTTAGCAGCAAGGACCAGTGGGAGGAGTGGTTGGGTAGTCTCCTAGCATTTTTCACTTATATTTGTCACCACCCTACCCACAATTTGAGACCAGGTGAGGAACTGCTGTAGCATTAGGGATAAGCAGAAATTCTAGATGTTGAGAAAGAAAATGGTGCTCAGGAAAAGATCAGGGGACAGTACTAGAACACGTGGTGAGGGGAGTTGACTTGGGTCCCCCGAGCCACCTTCAATGCATGTACAAAGGAAAACACACTAAACCAGGCCTGGTGGCATGCAGTCGTAGTCCCAGCTTCCAGGAGGCTGAGGTGGGAGAATTGCTTGAGCCCAGGAGTTGGAGGCTGCAGTGAACTGTTATGGCTCCTGTGAATTAGCCACTGTACTCCAGCCTAGGCGATATGGTGAGGCCCCGTCCTTGGAAATAAATAAATAAATAAATAAAAGGAAAAATATCTAATCTAAACACAATCCTTGCAAAATTCAGATGTGCCTTAGAGACTTGCACATTGTTGGGTTTTTTTCTGAGGAATCTCACTCTGTCGCCTAGTCACCAGCAAATACAGTTTATCCCACGTGGTTTTTTACAAAGTACTTTCAAATCCATTGCCCACGCTATGAAAATGTTTTCCATGCCCCACCCTGTTCTGGAAGGGATTTTAGGAGGCTTATAAAGACTTGTCTGGTGAGTCAGAGGAGCACAAATGGAAAGTGGGAGGGAAGGGAAGGCAAGTGCAGGGCCGGAAGGTGAGTGGACTCACACAGTGGGCCTGTGGGAGGAGGGTTATTCAATGTCACCCTGAGCAGCCTGGGGCTGGTCAACTGCTTGGGGACCTCTGGAGCCTGGAGTTCATGTCTCAGCCGTGTCCCTGCCTCTCTGTGACCTTGAACAACTAAACTCTGGCTCCTCTGGGCCTCAGTGTTTTTTTAAAGATGTGGGGTACAGCCAGGCATGGTGACTCATGCCTATAATCTCAGCACTTTGGGAGGCCGAGGTAAGAGCATTGCCTGAGTTCATGGGCTCAAGACCAACCTGGGCAACTTGGTGAGACCTCATCTCTACAATAAATTAAAAAAAAATCAACCGGGCATGGTAGTGCATGCCTGTAGTTCCAGCTACTTTGAAGGCTTAAGTGGAAGGATTGCTTGAGCCCAGCAGGTCAAGGCTGCGGTGGCCCGAGAGTCACTGCACTCCAGCCTAGGTGACAGAGTGAGACTCCAACTCAAAAAAAAAAAAAAGATGTGGGGTGCAATTCAGGATTAGGTATACAAGTAGTCATCATACAGGTAAAGTCTGGGCCTCCTTTTGGTCCCCACTTCGCCTGGTGCCATGCGCAGTGGCTTGCGCCTATAATCCCAGCACTTTGGGAGGCAGAGGCAAGGGGATTGCCTGAATCCAGGATTTCAAGACCAGCCTGAGCAACTTGACAAAACCTCGTCTCTACAATGAGTCAAAAAATTAGCTGGGCATGGTGGTGCGCTCTTGTAGTTCCAGCTACTTAGAATGCTGAGGTGGAAAGATTGCCTGAGCCCAGAAGGTCAAGGTTGCCATGAATGTGCCACTGCACTCCAGCCTGGGCAATAGAGTGAGACTCCAACTCAAAAAGAAAGAAAAAGAGGTCAGGTACCCATGTTGATGGTGCTGATGTTGTGAGTCCTCCCCCCCCACCCCCCGCCAGTGTCCCGCTACTGCCAAATCTCTTTCTTATGGGTCTTGGTTTTCACTTCTGTAAAATGAAATGAATAACCCTTGGCCTGTCTGCTCACAGGGTGGCCCCATCAGAGGCTTTGCAAGCTGTAAAGTACGGTGAGGGTAACCATATAGGGCTTGTGTTCTGGTCTCAGGCAGCAGGGCCTGAAGCCACAGGTGTGATTCAGAGTTGGGAGCAGGGACTCAGGGCCAGGGCTGGCTGGGAACAATTTCTTTATTCTTCAGTGTTTGTTGAAAAGAAGGGAGGGGCTAGGAGGGGCAGGGTATGGTGAATCCCAGCACTTTGGGAGACCAAGGCAGGATCGCTTGGGCCCAGGTATTTGAGACCAGCTGGGCAACACAGCAAGATCCAATCTCTTTTTTAAAAAAAGAGGGCAACCCCCTGGGGTCCCCTCCCACTGTGGGAGCTTTTCTGTCTTCTCAACAAATCTTGCTTAAAAAAAAAAAAAGGAAGGAGGCTGGGCGTGGTGGCTTACGCCTATAATCTCAGCACTTTGGGAGGCCAAGGTGAGAGGATTGCCTGAGCCCATGGGTTCGAGACCAGCCTGGGCAACTGGGGGAGACCTCATCTCTACAATAAATCAAAAAATTAGGTGGGCATGGTGGCGCGCTCCTATAGTTCCAGCCTCCTAGAAGACTGAGGCAGAAGGATCATCTGAATCCAGCAGGATGAGGCTGTGGTGGCCATGAGCGTGCCACTACACTCCACTCTGGGCAACAGAGTGAGTCTTTGACTTAAAAAAAAAAAAAGGGGAGTGGGGCGGAGTTCACATCCCAGGGGCTTAATAAGCCAGCAGGGTGTGGGGATCTGATCTGGTTGATCTGCCACACAGCTGTACTTCAGCTCTCCTGGCCTTTTCCCCCACAGCCTGGGACTACAGCCAGGGCTTCGTGAATGAGGAGATGATCCGGGACCACCTTCCACCCCCGGAGGAGGAGCCACTGGTGCTGATGTGCGGACCCCCACCCATGATCCAGTACGCCTGTCTACCCAACCTGGACCGGGTGGGCCACCCCAAGGAGCGCTGCTTTGCCTTCTGAAGACTGGGTACTGGCCACACGCTGCCCACTGCCCCGCGTATGCGCCACACTCTGTCCACACCCACCGGCCATCTCCCCACATTCGCCCATGTCTCACCCTGGGGCCGGGTTCAGCCTGGCCTGCCCGAGCCCTGGTGATTACCCAGCCAAGCTGGCCCCTGGGGGGCCCCTTTGGGCAGGTTCTGTTTCAGGTGGGCCACAGCCGAACCTTCAGGTCAGTTCTGTCTGGCCCTGGTTCTTCCCAGAGATGCCCAGCCCCACCCCTGTCCTCACGACCTCTTGTCCACCCCAACACACACTACAGGGCCGAGGGCTGCCAGTTCACGCTCCGCCTGCCCCTCCTGGCAGTGACCATAGTCCAGATGTTTAATGAGTATATGGGCCATCCAGCACTGCAGCACCAGGGCCGGCCCACCACCATCCTCGCCTCTACTGCTGCTGGGGTGACAGGCAGGCCTGGCCAGCCAGGATCGTGGCTCTGCCCCTGGCTGGAATGGGAAGAGGGGGCTGGCATGGGGTACATCCCAGAATCCCAGCATTCCCCAACACATCCAACTGTTTCAGTCATGGAGTTGCAGGCTGTTGGCTTGGCAGTCCCATGGACCACCTTTCAGTTTTGGGGTCCTGGCCGGGACCACCAGCCCTGCTGGTAGGACCACGACAGCTGTGCTTATTTATTCCTCTGTTCCGAACCTGCCCCTCCTCCTGCCCTCACCCCCAGCACTGGGGAGACTTTGAGCAGTGCCTCTTGTCTGAGAGATGAACCGGTGGCCTTGATGTTGCCTTTAGACATTAGCTGTCTTAGCCTCTTGCATATCGGCTTTTTCAGAGTCATTTATGTGCAGAAAAAAATCGAAGTAAAATTTTGCTAATATCAACCCTCCTGCAGCTCCTTGGATCTCTGACCTGCATCATGGGAGTGGGGGCAGGGCACAGGAAAGGACTGCACAAGGTCCAGCACTTGTTTATTTTTTTCTGAGTTGGAGTCGCATTCTGTGGCCCAGGCTGGAGTATAGTGGCACTATCACAGCCACAGCAGCCTCAACCTGCTGGGTTCAGGTGATCCTTCTGCCTCAGCCTTCCAAGTAGCGGGACTACAGGTGCATGCCACCATACCCAGCTAATTTTCTTATTTGTTGTAGAGATGGGTTTTCACCAAGTTGCCCAGGCTGGTCTTATACCCCTGGGCTCAGGCAATCCTCTCCCCTCTGCCTCCCAAAGTGCTGGGGTTACAGAGGTGAGCCACCATGCCCAGCCTTACGCTTATTTCTCATGTACGTGTTTGTTGTAGAAAATTTGGGAACTGCAGAAAAATATACACAGGACAAAAAATACCCAACATGGCCAGGTGTAGTGGCTTATACCTGTAATCCCAGCATTTGGGGAGGAGAGTTGCTTGAGCCCAGGAGTTGGAGACTAACCAGGGCAACATAGTAAGACCTTGTCTCAAAAAAAAAAAAAAATCCAGCTGGGCACAGTGGCTTGTAATCTCAACACCTTGGGAGGCCGAGGCAAGAGGATTGATTGCCTGAGCTTGGGGGTTTGAGACCAGCCTGGGCAACTTGTCGAGACCTTGCCTTTACAATAAATCAAAAAATTAGCCAGGCATGGTATGGCACATGCCTGTGATTCCAGCTACTTGGAAGGCCGAGGCAGAAGGATCACCTGAGCCCAGCAGGTTGAGGCTGTGGTGGCTGTGAGTGTGCCATAGCACTCCAACCTGGGTGACAAGAGTGAGACTCTGACTCAAAGAAGTAAAAAAGTTAGCCAGATGTGCTGAGGTGGAAGGATTGACTGAGCCCAGGAGGTAGAGGTTGTGGTAAGCCCTGATGGTGCCACTGCACTCCAGCCTAGGCAACAGAATGAGATCCCCACTGAAAAAAAAAAATGCCCGACACCCAGAGGGAAAGGCTCTGACTAACTGAAACCCAGTGGTCCTGGCCCACCATATAGTGCTGTTTCCCTCACCATCAGATGAGCTTCCGCCACCAGACACTAGCCATAAACCCTGCTGGATCATGTCTTACTGCTTAATGAACAGACTGCTTCCCTCTTGTGGGTTTTGTAAACCACAAACGGTCCTCTCCCTCTTTTCAGATGATTTCCTTTAGGATTGATTCCTGGAAACAGAAGGCAGTGTGGCCACTGAGAGTTCCGTCTTTATTTTTTATTTATTTATTTATTTTTTGAGTTGGAGTCTCACTCAGTCGCCCAGACTGGAGTGCAGTGGCCG